CGACACTGAGGGTTGCGATCCGTTGCCGGACACGAAAAAAGACAAAAAAAAAAAAAAGATTCATATGTCTCCCCACTGGTGGAAAAAAAAAGATTCAAATGGCCCATCTTCTGTAATACAGCACTATTCATAGCAAGCCCTAGAACATGGGGCTCTCAATTCCTACGGTAAGGTGCTCCTGATTTTGTTTGCTTTCCCTTTTGGAGTGGTAAACACACTTATTAAAGGTTAAGAGAAAGGGAATTATATCTGGACACACCATGGCAGACAATTTAAATTCATATTTACTATTCCTGATGCTGGTAATATTTTCACCTTAGTATATACTCCCTCCCTTTTATCTCCCACTCCTCACTACCCATCCACTCACTAAAAATCAAGTCTTCCCCCCACCCCACCCTTTTTTTTAAACCAAGTACAATTCAGCCCTTTTTGGTCCTGCTTTATTAATACAGACCCATGCCCTTAGACCAGGGTTGGAAAACTACAACCTGCAGGCCAATTCTGGCCTGTGCCCTGCTTTTGTAAATAAAGTTTTTTACATGGCCACAAGCACTTGTTTACAGACTGCCTATGGCTGCTTTCTCACAAGAACAGCAGAGCTGAATTGTTGCGTCAGAGATCATATGACCTGTAAAGCCTAAAATATTGATTCTCTGGAACATTCTTCCCCTGAGACTTCTGAAAAGTGCAATCCTTAGTACTGTAATATGTGACCTTGAAGAATTATTTTTAAAAGTTGTAATAGGGTCTGTATTAGTCCGTTTTGTGTTGCTTATAACAAAATACACAGAACTGGATAATTATAAAGAAAAACAACAGTTATTGCTTACAGTTTCTGAGGCTGGGAAGTCCAAAGTCTATCTGGTGGTGGCGACAGTGGCCCAGGGGCCTCACATTGCAAGATGGTGGAAGCACAGAGAGCAGAGAGAAAGACAGGCTCTCCTTTTTTTTTAAAGCCCTCAGAACCACACCCCTGACCACCACTTTTAATCCATTCAACTGCACGGTCCTACAATCCAATCACCTCTTCAAGGCTCCACCTTTTGATTACCATAATAGGATTTCCCACCCTCTTAACAGTCCCAGTGGGGGCTAAATTTCTAATAAATAAAACTAAGGAGACAATTCAATTTTCAATGAGTTTTGGGGGGACATAATTCAATCCACTACAGGGTCATAGGCTATATAGCCCTTTTAGTTTTAAGTACATTTCTATTCATTTTTTTCTTTTCTTTTCTTTTTTTTTTTTTGGCAGCTGGCTGGTAAGGGGATCCGAACCCTTGACTTTGGTTCTATAACACTGCACTCTAACCAACTGAGCTACCTGGCTAGCCCATAAATTTTTTTTTTTAAAACATCACTCTTGAAGCAAATCCTGTGAAATGGTATGAGTGATGATGATGGTGAAATTGAGAAAGATTTGAAAGAGGGCAGATACCTCTTTGGAGAATTTTAGCCATGAAGGAAAGAAGAGCTGGAGCAGTGGCTGCAGAGTAATGGTAACTTGTGATCACAAAGTATGAAGCCGGAGGGCATTCAGAAAAAGTTGCCACACTGCCAGCCTTCCCCCGCAACAATGGGGAAGTTTGAAGAGGACTTTCAGAGGTCTAATGAGTAGGAAACCAACATATAAAAATATGATCAGCCTCAGCAGTTACCAAAAAAAATAGAAATGAAGAGATGATAATTTCACTGATCAGATTAGGAAAATAAATTTAAAAATTTGACAGCATTCACACAAGCTATATAGTTCAAAGGTCACTGCAACCCAACCATCCACACTGACAGCAGGCAGTGTTCCAGGCCTCACTGTAGCACTAGTTGCCATTTCAGCATCACCTCAGATGGGCCCACACCAAGGTATTCTTTCCCTCCTACCATTATCCTCCCCACCCCATCTTTGGAAGAAAAATTTAACAAAAAAAGATCACATTGAAAAAAGTTTATTTAAAAAAGTTCTAGCAGCAAGAACAGTAACAAAACAAAAGGAGAGATGGACAAACAAAACATGAAGGAGGTTGTGTCCTGTGGGACTTGTCTCCATTCTTAATCAAGTTCTTTATACCGAGCAAACATGACTCTTCTAACAGCGTCTCGGTAAGTCTCGTTGGACTGTCTCTTGCTGGTTCTTCCTGGGGCCCCAGTGTTCAGGCCCCTCATACGGCCTTCAGTCTGCAAAACAAAAACAGTCAAGTGTGCCCTATGAACTAATTACTAATTAGCCACAGAGCTAGTCTCTGACCACAAGCATTCCTGGACCAGTAAGGAGCAAGATATAGGAGAACTTTTTAGAATCTTTCATTATTAAACAAATACCCATGATGAATAAGGAGGGTGGTGATGCTATGATTGCTGGATACAGGCTTCAATACAAAAGATATGAGAAGCTCTGTAGGAAAGAGATAAGCCAATGTCTCATGGCTGGCATTTGCAGAAGGGAACCAAGCCAATACAAAATGGGCAGTGTTCTCTTTTACCACCTCTTCCAGATGTTTATCCTGAAATATGAGAAGCAAAGTCCTTCAAGGGAACCAGGACTAACTTCACGCTCCCCAAATTTTAGTGATCAAAGACCTCTGCTGACAATCCCTCTCAGAGATGCCTTTGTACCTTTTATCTTTATTTTTTTGGCAGCTGGCTGGTACGGGGATCCAAATTCTTGACCTTGGTGTTACAAGGCTGTGCTCTAACCAACTGAGCTAACTGGCCAGCCCTGTACCTTTTATTGTTGGTTCTCTGATTCTTTTTACCAAATAATTCTAGTCTCATATTTCCCCACTGCTTACTCCTTTTAAGAGTACAATGAATCCCATTTCACCTTCTCCCTCCCTTTCCCAAGGCCAATCAAACCAAAGGGCCCAGCATGCCAAGCTATAACCTAGTAATCAAGACAGATGGGTTCCTTAACTCATGTCCTTTAGCTAGTGGTGAAGAAAGCCCAGCTAAAAGGAAAGGACACCACTCTAGGCCAGAGAGTGAGAGAAAGTGAAGCATATTTTAAGTTCACGTAACCCCCAACAAGATGGAAACTATTTCACCTCCTCCGATGAAGCCAATCCAGGATGGCCATATCCCACACCTGCTCCTTTCCTCCAGCCAGTGGCCTGTTGGACACACCATCCTTTGCTGCCAGTGTCAATATCTTCTTTGTCAATAGGTTTATGATCACTGTGAAAGAGGCAGACCATATTTATACACCATCACTTTCAAGGTGACTGGCTTGTGAGCCTAATGAAAACCTCTGTTTTCTTGATTCAGATCTGCCTTCTACAAAGTATATTAAATAATACTTCTAAATGCCTGCTATCTATGCACAAGGCTTCATCCCAGGGATACAGAAATGACAAGATTTGGCCCTGTTCATGAGGAAGGATGCAAGAATTATGTCATAGATCCTTACAGAACATTGAAGAGCTTGATCATGGATGTGGCGACAGTGGATATCTGCTATAAAAATAGAGTAGAGGGAACATAAACTCTGAAGGGGCATCACTGAAAATGGCAGGAATTTCAACAGGAAGGTATATCTGAATTAGGTCAGGACAAATGAGGAGTTTGTGAGCTACAAGAAGTATGAGAGGAAAGGAGGACACAATCATGAAGAAGTGAAGCAACACAATTTGTCCAGGAGAGGAGTGGTAGGAATTAACAAAAGTAAGGCTGTTGGTAGCTGGACTGTAAAAAGCCTTGCACATTAAGCTAAATCATTCCTCTAAACTTCATCCTTCAGATAAAGAAAACTTGGAGCCCAGGACTCCTCCTAAGCAAGGTACATGTTCACAAAAAGACAAGTTACAAGAGCAGATTTCTGTTTACAAAAGTCATTTTGGTGGTAGGGTAGAGAATGGACTTAAGAATAAAGGGAGCAAAGACTGGAAGTAAAGAGTCTAGTTTGAAGATGAGCTAGAATGGGGGGCAAGATTGATTAGGATTTGACCACTAATGAGATATAAGGAATAAAGGAGGAGGACTGGGTCAGACCAGGTAGATGGTGGTGCTTTGAGGTTGCTACTCTGAATCAGGAATATAGGAGGTTTAGCAGGACTGGAGTGTAATATGGAATGTAATAATGAGTAATTGTTCAGTAGGAAGAGCCTGAGAAGTGTCCAAGAGAACATGCCCAGGAGGCAAATGAAGTAGTGATTTTGAGCTGAGAAAATAGAACTGACTTGGGATGGAGCCACAGGACTTGTCAGCCTGTTAGTGGTGGCTGAGGCCCTCGATACCTTAGACAGTCCAGACAAAGAGGGCAAAGCAGCAAGAATAAAGGAGCACTGAGGGCAGAGTCCCGGAGAACATGCAGACTTACCCAGAAAGGGAAGAGGAGCAGGAAAGGAGACTAAGAAGGAGGAGAGTCAGGAGAATGTGGTATGAAGGTTGCCGAGAATAGACAATGGTCTCTTCTGCACCCAGCCCAGGCTCGTCCCAACTGACTTGGGTCTAAGGTATCCTTCCTCCTCACGGCTTACTCCTCTACCTTTGTCCTAGTCCACTGTATTTCAATTCACACAGAATGACCCAATGACCTTGGCACCAACCCTAGCACTTCTTAAAAATAAAAACAGAATAGACTAGAATGGAAATACCAGAGTTCACTGTACACTCAACAAGGAGTAAGGAGTATTTTACATGAAGACTTCTTTTTCAGTTACACACATACATACACACGATTACTGGGCCATGATATAAAAATACATCTCTTATTGTGGGCTGTTATCAAATAAGCTGGGATGTCAGAGCCCCAGACCTTCTCCAGCCTCCTCAGGGGCCTTGCTAAGTCAATCACCTCCTTTTCCCACAGAGATAACCTCCTCTGGCTACTAGTTCTTTTGCTTACCAACACAGAGAACTGCTCAAGTCTCTCTTGTTATAAGTGACTACACCTCTTCTCCTGCTCATGTACCCTCGTCACCCCTTTCCCCTCTTTCTTTCAAGGCCTTTAATACCCCTTCTTCTCCCAGCCATCCAATAGAAACCTGAACTTCATCAGCGACTTTTCCTTCTCCTCAGACAACCAATTGATCACAACAACTGGTGGATATGACACCTTTCTCTAATCCACTCTCCTTTCCACACTCACGGCCTTCTCTCAGGCAATCATAATCTCTCACTTGAATCACAGAGGTTGCATCATTAGTCTTTCTACACACTCATCTTCCACATGGTTATCAACCAACCAAAATGCAAAGCTAGATCAATACCCTGCTGAAAACCATTTCATGACCTCCCACTACCTTTAAGATAAAACCTTAGCATGGTGTTCAAGGCACATGAACTTCGTGAACTGGCCTCCGTATGTTAGACCAGCCTTCTCTCCTGTCACTGAATAACCCCTAATATTCAGCCCCATCAAACTACTTGCAACTCATCAAATGCATCATGGGCTCTTACTCTTTTTCATCCATGGTGTATGCGGTTCTCTCTAACTGAAATGCCCTTACCTTTCCCACTGGATTTTTGTATCTGCCCTATGAGACACCTTAGCTTTCCCTATTGTGTTCAGTCAAAAATAATATGTCTTGTCCACCTGAATATTCTTTGCACTTAGCGCATGATAGACTTTGGACATGACTGGTGCCATTGTGCACACAATAAGCACAAAATAGCCCCTGGCCTTGTCTTCCACTCCAGCACCAAACCCCTCCCGCCTTCCCTTTATGAGAAGCCTCATGACTTCTGCAAAACAGAAACCCTCTTGCTGCTGCAAGGGCACAATTCTCCACCTGGGTCACATAGCTTCCACATTAGCATAATGCCTCTCCTTGATTTTATCAGCCTACCCTTGGCACCCTATATAAGTTCTACCACCCCCACACCTGGTGCTGTCTTCCATCTTGAGGGTAGTCGAGGCTGCCCTCCACTTTGAGCGCAGCTTGGCAGATTCTTTTCCTTTAATAAAGCTTGATCGGTACCCAGTATCTCGGCTCACTTTCTTTCAGTGCAGTGCCTATACATAGTGGGTTATCAACCAATTCTCTATAATTCTGGGCTTATGACTTGGGAACAATCTGTCTGGAAACAACTACATGAGGCTAGAGATCATATATCTCTATCAGCAGGCAACCACTTATTCAGAACCTATATGTGAGAATGGAGGTTCCCTAGAGAAAAAGCCCAAAGAGTATGACATTCTTATAAGGCCCATAAGGAGGGTGTAGCATAACTGATGAGGAGAGAATGGGTTCCTAACCATGGTCACTCCAGCCCTGGCTTTGAGCATCTAAAGCAACCAGCCAATTTTCCACACATTCCCTGTATAAAGACAGGTGATCAAAAGGCTGGAGTGGATCTCTTGCTCAAGGAGTTCAGACAGAACCTGCTCCTGATAATCTCATCTCCCTGAGAGAGAAAAAAAGCAGCACAGTTGAAGAAGAAGATGGTTTTAACATTAGGCCTTGAGGCCTAGGCTGAATGAAAAGTTCCTGTCTTACCTGTCAGTTTCCCTGGAGTATTTAATCCGTTTTCTTTCTGGAGAGTCAAAAGATTGGGGCTTTCCCCTGCGGTCATTTCCTCTTTCTTTAAACCTTCCCTGTTGGTAAGCAGAAGAGCAGACTTGAGACTTCCACCTGAGGGGATTGGAGAGTGGGGAAGCTTTACCTCATTCCTGATATTTCCTTTAATGTGAAGGCAGCTCAACTGGTAACTCCTGGAATCTCTCTCACCTTCACATATTCTTCTAGAAAAAGCAGTGACTTCTCTGGTGAAATTGGAAAGAGTAAGCTGGCATGCTTATTCAGGCTCAGCTGTCTTTCCCCATTCTTTAAGCAGGTGGCCTCCATAGGTCAATACTTAATCAACATGTAAGACCTGCCCCAGGCTGGTGAAGCCTGTGACTGACGAGGTAAATCTGCCTAATTGCGTGATTTAGGAAGCAAGTCCATTTGGATCCCACACTAAGGTACTTCCTCCAACTTAGCTTTTAATAGTAAAAGATGCTATTTCAGCAACCCTATCCAAAACTCCTTCATTTTCTCACCTGATTTAATAGCTGAGCAAGAAGGAAAGTGCTATTTATTTAACCTACCTGGAGATCCTAACACCACCTTTTAAAAAGATATCAAGTTTACAGAGGTATAATTTATAAACAATAAAATGCACCCACTTTAATGTAGAATTTGATGAGTTTTGACAAATGCATACTTTGAGGCCTCAACGTTCTCTGTCTTCTTGTAAGGAGGCCATCAGTACAGCCTATAAAGTCTACACCAGAAAGCAGAAAGAGTTGGAGTCAAGGAAGTAACAGGTCACCAAAGTTTACCTCCCGTTCTCTCCTTTCCAGATAGGCTAGCTCCTGTTCAGACTGTTTTATCTTCCGGTGGATTTCCAGGTTTTGCTGAGAAGAAAGGGAATTCTGTGAGTAAGGGTCTAGAAAAATGGTCCAACAAATGCCTCTAGTCCATTTCTGATAGCTGCTTTAGAACTGTAGTTCACCTGACCAACTCTCCTAAATGATCACTGTAAACAATAATCCCTAACTGGTCTACCTTTAGTCTCAACCATGGGAACCCAGATTCTAATCCAAGCCTGTCACACAAATTAGTTATGTGGTGTGGCACAAGAGGGAACTTCATTCTATTTTTCTCCAAAATGTGGAAGACAAAAATCTGGCTTATTTATCTAAGGGGAAAATTGTGGAAGTGGGGATCTGAGCACACCAGTGAAGAAAACCAAATGCCCTCATTCTCCCTACCACCACCACATCCAGCATCCCCAAACACTAGTCATTCTTTCAAGCCCCCAGAGAAACAGGAAACAGAAACAGGAAAAGAAGCCCCAGGGTCTTGAAAAAAACAGACGTCTCTGAGATTCCCCACTCCTCAAGCATCACTCCACTGCACAAGCCCTCACACATATATATGAAACTTTAGGAGTCCAAAGCAGCTCTTGTTTGGAGAGGTGGTTCTTTGTATTGGATGACTCCAAGGAAAGGAAAAGTGCTACAGTCTACTTTCCTGGGGTGAGTTTGTGGATTCACTAGACCTGTTGCTCCTCTTTCCTGTTTATCTCTTTAGCTATTTATATGCAAATGTGTCAGTCTGATGACTCAGAATTCCAGCAGGTCAAGAGACTTGGGAGGTAGTCTGTTCCAGGGACTGTCAGGAGGAGATTCTCAGAGTCTTAGAAGCTTTGCAGAGGCTCCACAGAGCTGGCTGGGAAAAATAGTATACATCTTATCAAAAGCAGAGCTTCTCAGCCTTTAGTTACGTAAAAATTTGGGTTCTGTAGTGAGAGAAAGTTTAAATCCAGTCTCATCACTTACTCTTGCAACATTTGCTACACAAAGAGTATGACACAAATTACTATGAGAACAGAAGTCCATCTATAGGCTTTAATTGTCCATAATTTGGCTCGTTGGTCAGTACAGACAAAGGGGAAGACTGCAGGGCAGGATCAATGTATGTCAGTTTAACACCCCAAGAACAGCTGTTATGCTGTGGCTTATAGCAATACTTACTACATGAAGAGATGGCAGAATTTAATTCACCTATGAGGAAAACTGCACACTGTCAGAGCTGGATAAAATCTGTGGTCCAACTGTTAGGTTAACGGCAAAGCTAAGAAAAGAAACCCAGCAAGTAAGCTTCCTGCTCCACATCCTTTGTATATGGTGCCCTAGCCACAGCCATGCTGCTTGCCTTGGGTCTACACACTGAAGTTCTCTGAAAGTGGGCACAGCCTTATTTCAGAGCAACTCATGAACAGAAAGTAGAAGAGCAATTCATTCTTGAATTGGATTGATAGAAAAGGGATGATATCAGCTGAGTACCATCAGTATAAGCTTATACTGAAGACCGGTATGAGCTTATTTATTCCCTGTAATACCCATCAGTGATAGGATTCAAAAGTTTGAGAGGTATTCCCCTAATACCTTGTGCAGGTCTGACAGCTGCTGGTGTTTGATCAGAACTTCTTTATTGGGAAACTGCCTTCTGCAGAGCAGGCAAGCCAGTTTATTCCAGTCAGTGAGTTTGTCGTCTTCATTCTCCTTCTTGATCAGCTCCTCCCGCTGTTGGGGCTGCACCGTGCGGGGCTGCTGGGGAGGAGTCTGTTCCTCCTCATCTTCCTCCTCATAGTCACTGTCTCCTCCATATTCACCCAGGAGGCCAATCAGCGGGTTTACCACCTTAGGCTGAAAGAAGGCCAGGGATCAACACCATATTCGACCTATGTTTTGATACTTTTTGTTGCTGTTCTCTTCTGGTTAGAGTTATCAATTGGGTTCAAAATAGGCCCACTGACCATGGTGCTCATTTCCCAGATGGAAACAACATGGCTAGAGCCTGACCTTGCTCCTTGCCTATTGAAATAAACCAGACAGGTACCTTTAGAAGCAACTCTAGCAACAGAATGGTGAGGAGAAGAGAAAGGGGAACTGGTATAGAAAATAGCAAAAGAGTTAAAAAGTTACAGAGAAGAAGTAAACACCTCCAAGTCACTATAACCCATGGAGGAAAGAAAAAATGAATCTCATTAAGGCTCTAGCAAAGGGGATTTAAGAGATGAACTAAAAGCAACCCCAATGACAAGTAGTCAGGTAGACAGACACATCTTCTGAGTAAGGTAAAGGCAAATACATAGTTAGGATAAATGTTATAATAAGCTGAATTAATAATGTGGAGCAGGCAAGAAGTACCTTATAGGAATTATTAAATAATGATGTGTGACACTGGATCTACAATCAATCAAAATAAAAATACAGAGCACGGTCACTATTGTTATATATTTGTATGCAATTAGAATCATTAGTGATTAAGACTATCACTTCAATGCATCTCAAAAATGGGTACCAGCATCAGCATCATTCACTCTGGCCAGGCAGGCAGACTACAAAAATGACCATGTGTGTATTCCACATGTAAGTGATTCTTATGGGCAACAAAAGGCAGAAGACATGGAGGCCAGAAAATGGGTTTCCTCAGTGATTTAGAGAAGAACTGACAAGACCATGATTATAATTTTACAATGGCCAAGCATCTCCTGGTCTGGTGGGAATGGCACAGTTTAGAGACAAAGGAAACAGATAACCACCTCTGATTCCCCATTAATACTACTATCAGCAGACAGCAAAATTTACTTCAAGCTTATACTCAAGAAGAGTCCTTATTCATGAGATGTAGAGAACTAAAGAATCAACACCACCAGGGCCAGCCCATGGCTCACTTGGGAGAGTGTGGTGCTGCTAACGCCAAGGCCAAGGGTTCAGATCCCTATATAGGGATAGCCGGTGAGCTCATTTGGGAGAGCGTGGTGCTGACAACACCAAGTCAAGAGTTAAGATCCCTTACCAGTCATCTTTAAAAAAAAAAGAGAACCAACACCAGAATGAGGCACCAGCCTTTGTGCTTCCATTTCCACCCAGAAGCAGCTCCAGCCCAGGGCATCAGTGTTAGCCTTACTGGAGGGGGACTCTCTTCCTTCTTCACAGTGGGAGGCAGGGGCTTCTTGAAGACATCTTCTGGGGAAGACTTCCCCTCACTGGCACTTTCCTGAAACTGATCAAACCCAGAGGTAAATTTTACATGATACTCATTCATGAAAATTGGGTTAAGGGTTAATCTGTTAAAATTAGGTTGACTTGGGCCGAGCCCGTGGTGCACTCGGGAGAGTGCGGCGCTGGGAGCACAGCAGCGCTCCTGCCACGGGTTCAGATCCTATATAGGGATGACCGGTGCGCTCACAGCGCTCACTGGCTGAGCGCGGTGCGGCCGGTCTCAAAAAGGACAAAAAA